GAATCTTCCACATCTGAAGCATGTTTGGAATAGGGATCCACAAGGAATTCTTTCCTTCGATAACTTATGTACTGTGCATGTCCAGGGATGTCCTGGTCTAAGAAGTCTCTTCCCTGCCTCTATAGCCCTAAACCTTCTACAACTTGAAGAGCTTCTGATAGTAAATTGTGGAGTGGAGGAAATTGTTGCTAAGGATGAAGGACTAGAAGAAGGTCCTGAGTTTTTGTTTCCTAAAGTTACCTATCTGCATCTTGTGGAAGTACCAGAACTAAAGAGATTCTATCCAGGAATACATAAATCAGAATGGCCGAGGTTGAAAAAGTTTTGGGTGTATCACTGTAACAAAATTGAAATATTTCCTTCAGAAATCAAGTGCTCTCACGAACCATGCAGGGAGGACCACATGGACATCGAAGGTCAGCAGCCACTTCTGTCATTTAGGAAGGTATGATCTTCAACTCTATTCCAAGCACGTACACGCTCCACATCTTTCTAATTTTCACATAAACTTTCATTAGACCAGTATTATCACGACTCGAATCCTAAGTTCACGACCTTCACTAAATTTCATCCCACCTTCACTAAATTTCAAAAAATATATATTAAAAGAATAAGTTATTAAAAAATACACAACATTTTATATTTTTTTAAATATTATATTATTTAAAACTACTAAAATCAAATGATAGTTTAAAACTTCTCATTAATAATTAAAACAAAAACAATAATCCATAATATATACTCATTATATTATCAAAATTCAAAGTTAATTAAAATAATGTAACAGTGGATCATGTAAAATATCAAGTAAAAACTAAAAGGAAATCCTCATAAAATAATGCCTAAAAAAGCAAAAACACTTAATAAAGTTAACCTATTAACAGAAAAGAAAATAAAAACTTGAAATAATATTAAAAATAAAGGGTAAGTTTAATCAATTCAGTGAAGAAATAATATTTAATATACAACTTAGATATTAATAGTTTGCAAGATGATTTATCTTGACACATGCACGCGCGCACACTAAACATATTATTATAAAATAGTGGAATATATGTCAGTGATCAGATGACATCTGAAGATGATCAGATGACACCTAAAAGTGATCACTATAAGAGAATTAGTCGCTATAAGTTGATGCCTCTCTTACTAGTTGGGGATATAGAATATTATACATATATTAAAAATTATCCTACTCACCCCTAAAATATAGAATTAAAAGGAATACCAAATAAAAGATCCAAAAATCTTATTGAGAATCATTAGAAATACCTATAACAAATATACGAAATATACTAAAAAAATCCAATTAAAAGATTCCAATGCATAAAAGAAACCAGGTTTAGTCTTCTAAGTTTAGGGACTAAAAAGATATTTTTTTCAAAAATAAGGATCAAAATATAATTTTACCAGAATTGGATGACCAAACTGCAATTGTTAAAAATACATAACCATACTGAAATTTCATCCATAACCCATACTAAATTCTGTCTAGAATCTCAATTTATGTTTTAGAAACCAAACTATAATTTTTCCAAAGTTTAGGGACTAAATTGTAAATCTCCAAAATATAGGGACTAAACTAAAAATTACACGAATCCATTATCAAACAGAGATTCATTATCCTTAACCTCGGAAGAATACTGTCCAAAATTTCAAAATACATTTCAGAGGTCAAATTATTATTTTCTAAAGTTTAGGGACTAGGTTTTAATTTTCATTGATCAAGAACCAAAATAAAATTTCATTATCTTCAACTTCAAAACCATTCTAACCAGATTTTTTATCAAAGCTGAAATAAATTTATTAACCCATAACAAATCAATTAAATAAATCAATTAACAAATTTTTATTTCTAACAACACATGTAAAATTAATCACTTAATTTTAAACTTATAATAATCACGAATTAATCTTATCAACATAAAATTTTTATAAACTCTAATCTTTTCTTTAATCCTTTTATAAACAAACCATGATCAAAAGTAACATGAAAAAAAACCATTTACTTGTTACATTCACCTTTTTGGAATCCAAAAACTCAAGATCAAAAACTAAAATTTTTAGTTTGATGAAGGGATGATCACGACAACAAGAAGAGTTAGAAGAAAAAAAAACAATTCTCTTATAACTTTTTTTTTGCATATTTAGGTTAACTTGAATATGAGTTTAGACCAATCATTTGAATCTTACAGTTATGATTAATTATGTTTCCATTCAAGCAAGGTGAATTTGGTTGACATCCCAATGTTTGGTGAATTAATGAAGCATGATGACTTCTTTTGAGGGATACATATGTTGTATGATGTGTTCAATCTAAAAGCCACTGCCCCTCTGCAGAAAGAGAATTCTTACTGAAAGATTGACAAAGCTTTTGCATTCATAACATTACAAAACTGAAGCTAGAGCTCACGTGGCACAATTCATTTAGTCAAGTGTTCAGTTGATCTTTCTATGCACAGCTATAAAGTTGTTAAGAAAACGTCAAGTCAAGCATGCTTTCTTTTGATTGGTTTTCAGATCTTCCCCAACTTGGAGGATTTATATTTGGAAAGCAAGGATGCATCGGCATTATTGAGAAGCCTGTGTCCTCAAGACTTCTATGACAAACTCAAAGTTCTCAATCTGTTTTGCTTTCATGATGCACATGCAACTTTTCCAATTGATCTCCTTCCAAGGTTCCCTAAATTGGAAAAACTTATTGCGGGATGTAGTGAGTTCAAAGAGTTGCTCCCGTCTAGACTTGATTGCATGGAGAAGCATGCAAGAGTTCTTTCACCGATACGACACTTAGAGTTGAAAACTCTTCCTTGCCTAGAGCATTTATGGAAGAGCAATTCCCAACTGGACCAAGCTCTGCAGACTCTTGAAACTCTTGTAGTACAGAATTGCGGCAGTTTGATTTATTTAGCTCCATCCCGTGCTTCTTTCCAAAATCTAACAAATTTGGATGTGTGGAATTGCAAAAGATTAGTAAAATTAGTGACATCCACAACAGCTAAAAGTCTGGCGCAACTCACAAGAATGAAAGTAGTGGGCTGCAGTATGGTTACCGAAATAGTAGCAAATGAGGAAGAGGGAATAAAAGATGAGATTGTCTTCAGCAAATTAGAAATATTAGAGCTTCATCGTTTACCAAGCCTAACTAGCTTTTGCTCAGAAAAACACAGCTTTGATTTCCCATCTCTGGTAGAAGTAACTGTCAGACAATGTCCTGGGATGAAGTTCTTCTCCAACGGAGCGCTGAGCACTCCCAAGCTGCGGAGAGTTAAATTGACTGAAGAGGACAAGAAAGGATTCTGGGTTGGAAATCTTAACACCACAATACAACAGTTGTCTACACAAACGGTAAGCACCGATCAATCATTCCAATTTCTGTAAACCATGAAATAAGTAACTAGGTATCTTATTTCGCTTGTATTTAACTATTTCAGAAAGCTCAAACTGGTGAAAGTTCATCATCGTAAATGCTTGAGATACTGCTTGCTCCACCGATGTGTTCGATCCCTGTGCAGCTCCTAGAGTTGGAAGTAAAAGGCTGTCCCAAGATTGAAGAAATTGTCACAAATGATTTACCAGGTGCGGTAGATCTTCTGAGAGAACAAAAGGCAAATGCAACTGATGGGGCTACTGAACCAAGGATGATACAGGACAAGAAGATTTGAAGAAAGAAACGGAGAGAAAGGAAGAAAGGAGGGAGAAGAAGATGAGAGGAGCAGGAGAAGAGGAGAGGGAGGAGGAGAAATCAATGATCTTCATATTTCATCTTCAAAACTGTAATGTAATGTAAAATACAATACATATAAATAGCAAAACTCTACCCAAACATTGATTTACAATTACTATAAAGAAAGGGTGTTTTCATGTAAAAATATTATAATTGTAAATTTTTTTTGCATGGTAAAATTGTAATTTTTAGGTTTTAGAAAACAAGTTTTTCTTATATATTTTTTTAATACTTATTTTTTTTATCATTTTATATTTAGTCTATTTTCACTATTTCTTTTTTTATCTTAATTCTTTTTAATATTTTTTTTGTAGTTTTTCTTTTTTTTTTTCCCTACACTTTTTTAGAAAAAAGCGTTATTTTTATTTTTTATTTCTTACACTTTGAATATTTATCACAATACTTGTTTTATCACTGTACCATTTGTTTTTGTTTTTTTCTTTATCTTTTTATAATTTTTTTCTTTACACTTTTTTTTTAAAAAAATATTTTATGTATAAAATTTTTTTTTTACACTTTATTAACACATGATATTTATTACAATTTATTACATGTAAGAATTAATTTTTTTGATTCACAATTATATTTTTTATTTTATGTCAAAAAGCATGATAATAACACCTATACATTAATTCTTTTACGTGAGAAAAAAATAATTAATCTACAATAAGACGAGTTGAATAAATATATAAGCATTTTGTTTTTTTTTTATTTATTAGCACAAATAATTCTCGAAGTATTTAATTAATGCATGCATGTATGTGTATAGATCTTTTAATTTGTAATTAGAATTTAAATAAAAAACACATTTAAAAAGCTTGTATTTTTTTTTTGCAAAAAAAATTATCCAACCCGTTGTGTTTTATAATTAGGAATTAACTAAATAAAATGTATTAACATGAAGATAAATCAAACCTAATAATAAAATCAAATGAAATTGAATAAAATAGTCTTAAGTCTAATCTCTCAACCGAAGAATGATTGGTTGAGGTATTTTTCAATATCTTCAATCATACATGTGTGAGATGTGTCTTGTATCTAGTGTTGTTTCAAAAAAAATTTTATGCATGTCTCAAATCAAAAGAATTTAAATTTGAAAACT